CCTAAACCTTCAACCCCTAAATCCTGAACAATTGGCTAGGTTGAGTCAGGGTTCAAACAATTTCACGTAGGAGCTACAGCCTCAACTCCTTTAAAGGGGGGTTGCATGGGGATTATATAGGGGAGTATTTTAGGAGGTACTAAGGGGGATACTAGGAGTTTAGACCATAGCTCATAGAACTCCTGCTGATAAGGTTTAGGGCTTAGGGTTGCTACATGGATTGTTTAGGCTAGTTGCCTCAGAGCTGCGAAGTTCGCCAGAATTTAGGATAGATACTAGCACTAGGCGAGAGCAGCATGACAGGCACAAGAGGAGAACATCTTGTACAAGTGGGACTGCAAAACATCACGGGTCCCAAGCCCTAAACCCTAGTGTTATCTCGGAAAATCATGGGTCCTGAGCACTAAACCCCGGGGCTATGCAGTGATGGTCCCAGGCATTAAGCTTTGGGACTTTTCAGTGATAGCCATGAGTCCTAAACCCTAAGGCCTAAAATGTAGGGTCATGCAGAGATACTTAGGGCTACTGAAGGTATTGGGGGGGGATGGTACCGCAGCCCATGGGTCGCTTTGAGTCTTCATGCTTCTAAACCAGGATAGGGTTTTAGGGTTTAGAGTTTTAGAAGGGGCTTAGGGGTAAGGGGATTAGATGCTCAGAGTTTAGGGTTTACGGTTTAGAGGTTTAGGGTTTACTGGTTTAGAGGCTTAGCGGTTAGGGGTGTAGGGCTAGAGGGTTAACGAGTTTAGGGTATAGGGTGAAGAGTTTTAGGGTTAAGCGTTTTAGGGTTCAGGGCTTTAAGGTTCGGGTTCAGGTATTAGGGTGAAAGTGCAACCCCCAAAGGGCCGCATGGTTCCTGGAGTACCGCAGATACACAACGACCTTGAACCATAAACGCAAGTAAAAACCTGCCAAATAATAGGAGCTCTGTATTTGTGCTTATACTTCCTCTCAGCCAATTTGCGAGATTCCGGACCCAGACACAGAAGTCTTGGCCATAAACACTTTAAGGTGTAGGGCTTGAAGGGCCTGACGCTAAACCCTAAAAAAGACCTTTGGAGCTCTAAAACCAATTGCCTATGTATCATCCAGGCTTCCGAGTTCGTCGAGAAGCTGAAGGCCACTCAGCTAAGAAGGAGACGAAGTAAAGAGGGGGTTTAGGGTGTAGGGCTTAGGGTTTAGGGTCAGGGTTTGGGGTACAGTCGGTTCTCCGGATTTGGTCTTCTTCTTACTGCCCGTAAAGCGAACCCAGTTCGTAGACAGCGCACACCCCATGGTGCTCATGCCCACAAGGCGACCTGCGTTCTTTCCTGTATAACCCAAGGCTCCGAAGTAAAACTCACAGTTTAGGCTTTAGACTCAAGGGGCCATCGACCATTGCCTTGAGTAGACTATAGACCACGGTAGAATTGAGTAAGAGAGCTTATCCTGGCAAAGGCGGGCAACCCCCAAATTTGGAAGCGCGCACGTGGCTTTCCATAAATGCGAGGTCCCAGTTGTAGACCGAACTACCATAATTCCTAGAAGAAAGCACCTCCGAAAAGGACCACTGTTTTTGAGCATGTCCATTTTTCCGTGCGTTAATGGTGGCCTAGCTGTGATCCCGCAGTCTAAGGTCCATGTCTATATTTCGGACGGTGACCCGCTGAAGCCTAACCTTTGGCGACCTTGAAACCTAGATCCTGTGACTGAAGATCTGAAGATCTAAGGCTCTTGGGGTTTAGGGTTTAGGGTTTCCTGGTCTATGGCGAACCCTCGGTCTTCAATGTTACATGAAATTTAAGTAAGTCAAGCGTAATTAAGTCCTAAGCCCTGTCAATCCGGAACCTTGGATCCTTGCATCTAAAAGCCAATGTACTCAAGTCACCTAAACCCTAAACCTGAACCCTAATCCCTAAACCCTAAACCCTGAACCCAGAACCGCCTACATAGCATCCGCCAACAGTCCTCGGATTTCCCATTAAAAGAATCTTTGTAATACCATGGAATTGTAATGGCTTTAGGGTTTCGGGGTTTAGGGTTTAGGCATTAGGGTTTTTCAAACCCTCCCTATACTACCCCAATCCCTGCGTTCTCCCTTAATTAGGTGTAGTTAGGCTGAATTGGGCGTTAGGTTGGGTGGGGTAGTCAAGGAAGGTGGAAGAAATTGTAAAGCCCGAAATCCTAAACCCTGATCGCATAAAATTCCTTCCAGCAAGCCCCCTAAACACCAAACCCTCAACCCCTAAATCCTACATCCTAAGCCCTAAATTCTTAGATCAACAGCCCTAAACCCCCAGATCCTAAACCCTAAGTTCTAATCTCCTAAATCCAAAGCCCTGAAACCGTAAATCCTAAACCGTAAATCCTAAACCCTAGTCCCCCAAATACTAGACCCTACATCTCCTAAATCCCTTCTGGCAAGCCTTTCTGGACTGCCAGGTCGAGTTGAAAGAGCAAGACGTCGTCCTCAGGGCCGAAGAGAAGAAGACTACGGCCCTGCTGGAGAAGGCTATACCCTGAACCCTTACTTGGGTGGTTGTCAAAATTATGGTCCCTTTTTGGGTCCCTATTATAATACGGCACCTAATATTTGGGGTGCCCCAAAAGGCATCAAAATTTTGACATCCACCCACTTGGAAGGGTAATTTTATAGTAGTAGTGTTTAGGCAGAATGGAAAAGAAAATGGAAGCTACAATCTATTATGTAGGGTTTAGTCTTCAGGGTTTAGGGTCAAGGGGACTTAGTACGTGGGTTAATAATGGAGATAAATAGGTTTACTATATGGGTTGTAAGTGTTATTAACCTACTCACTAAGTCCCCCTGACCCTCCAAGTATACTCTAAACCCCAAGCGAAGATGTAGGGTTTTGGGTTTAGGGTGTTGGGTTTAGGGTGTTGGGTTTAGGGTTTTGGGTTTAGGGTTTAGGAACCCTATCCCCAAACCCTACGGTCTAGGGTTTTGAGATGGTCTTGGCGTCCAATTAGGGTCATTTAGGGTTTATAGGTTTTAAGGCGTAAAGGTTCAGGGTGATTCTTTGGGTGATAAGTTTTTCACCTGATTCACATGAGCCATAGTCTAAACTCCTTAAGAGGGGTTATATAGGGGATTATATAGAGGACTACTATAGGGGTTATGAAGGGGAATACTAGGAGTTTAGACTATGATTTACAAAAGGGCGAACCAACGCCTGAGGTTTTTTCTGGTGCCGACAAGCGCCCACGCCCAAATGCATCCAAGCCCTAAACCCCAAACACTGAACCCTAAACCCGACCTACTGGTCCCTAAACCATAAACTTCCTCCTTTTTAAAAGGACCCCTAAACAGGTCCCCCTAACCCCCAAACCCTAAACCCTAAACCCTATGTAACCCCTGTATCCCCTTGAAAGGTACCCTAATCTTGGGAAACGCGCAAGTAGAAGTCCCTCGGAAATTGTCACTTGGTTCTGGAATGAGGCTCTAGAGTTGAAATTTCCCGCACCCTAGACCCTAACTGGGTTTAGGGTTGGGGGTTTAGGGCGCCTGTAAACCCTGACTCCTAACCGCCGAAGAATGCCTAAGCCCCAAATCTGAATTTCTTATGGTTTTGATTGTGCAGTTCCTTGTATAACTGGTACTTCAAACAGACCTCAAGATTATATTGGTAACCCTAAACCCTAAACCCTACGGTATAGGGGACTATTGTGCAACCCGGCAGCCTGTCTGTGCTGAGGGGTGTGGTTGCCGAAGCCTGCGCGAAGAAGACCTTATGACTTATGATTCTCCCTAGGGCTCCAGTTACCTAATTAATGGGTTCTGGGTTCTATATACCCTATAGTTACATAGCCCAGTAGCCTACTATTTAGGTAGCTGGGACCTTATATCATTTTTGTAGCGTCCATACTATGGGGCACTGTGGGGATAGGGGTTAGCAACATCTTCTTCTTACGATCCCACTGTCTCACTATGCGCTCCCCACATTAAATCTCAGTATGGGCCCTCTAAGGAGGCAAGCTTGAAATGAGAAAGCTTTGCGCAAATTTGACTCCCCAAATCCTGTCCCTTCATAAGGGTTTAGGGTTAAGAGTTTATGTCCCTAAGCCAGAAACACTCCTCGAGCCCCCCAAACAGCACAGACATGCTTGCGCAGACCTTCTCATATTCTTTCTTACGAGAAGAGGCTGAATGCTTCCTGATACTATTCGTCCATCGATGCGCAGAAATCTAAGAGGCAAACGTGCAGAAGGGCCATTGAACTCCGTGTACAAGTATTGGACAAGCTACCCTATTCAACGTAACTGGCCCCCTGTATTCAAACCTATAGGGCTCTGTTGTACTTTGGGGCCCAAACTTTCAGGCCGGGAAAACTAAGTCACCGTGCCCCTTCTAAACCCTGTAGTCCCCCTTAAGTAGATAGATTTATG